AAAGAAGGAAGTGGCGTAACTGTCTTTTCAACTGTTGCTGTGTGGAGCTGACTAGCTTCTAGAGAGCTACAGGCAGAGAGAGCAGGGTGGGAGAAAGGTTTACCCAGGAGGACAGTTTAACAGCCAAAAACCATAAAGTGCATTTCATGCTTAAGTGATTAATTAAAAAAACAAAACAAAACAAAAAGCCTCCTGAATCCAGCATATCGTAAATATAAAACAGCCAACCTGAGGTAGATGGACAGATTATTCCCATTAGGCTTAATTAGCTCATGTTGTCAGCATTCTAGCTTTGTGGTGGCCTTGCCTTTATTCTGCCAGGCAGGATACTGACTTTTAGGAACTGATGCTAAGTTTTATGATTCAGTACAGAGACTGAGGACTTTTGAACAACTTTCATTTTGAGTAAGGGGTTTTTTAGGGGGTGGTAGTGGTGGTGTCATATTTTTAAGCAGATTTTCAGCGCAGCAGCTTTCATTTTCCACTTTAGGGCCACTATCAGCCTTTTCTAAAACCACTCTTCCTCAACTGCAGAAGAGACCTGCACACAAGGTGATAGGCAGAAAGGCAGGTTCATTGCTTAAGTCTTAAGTACAGACTAAGCCTCTCCAGTACACATGGCAGAACCATTTGATGTTGCTCTTGTGGTATTGCATCTCTACACAGAGGCTACTTTGCCAAGAGGTATCATTTTAAATGCTGATAGAGTTTGAGAGGCTATGGATTTTGGAGAGAAAATACTGTTGACTAGAAGTATAGTGCTTGGCTCCAAAATACATGAATAGCACTATAAAAAAATGAGGCACAGGAGCGGAGAATTGCAGTTTACATGGATCTAACTGGCTGGCCAACTCCTGTTTGTATGGGCACCCACTACTATGGAGAAAAACTACTAATATCCTTCAACTCCAGACATGACTTCATATACTAAAGCATGCACCAACTAACTGTACCTTTCAAAGCCAGAATGATCACTCATGCTCTCACAGACCCCAAGAAAAAGCCACAGCCATCCTGAAACCTCTGTCCACAACTGGTTTGGCCCTGATGAGTCCCTGAACCACAGACTGAATCACAGAGCTGGAGCAAAGGGAACATAACATAGCAGAAAGTGTGTGAGCTCTGCGCAGGAGAAGCAATGCTTCAGTGCTGCCAGTTATGAGAAAGCGTCATCCAGATTGATTCATTCACATTCATCAGTTTTTGTTACCACTCCTGATGGGACTTGTTGAGTACACACACTTCATTTTTATTGCTACTGGCAGTGATGTGATCCTCTGCACTTCATTTATTAGTGATACAGAGAGTTTGTCCCTCCATGTTGCCCAAGGAACCTGAACAGATTTTCCTCTTCAGCCACCAAAAGCAGAGGGGAGAGTAGGTGTCTTGAACTGACTTTTAAAAAGTCTCTGTGTTAGTTTTCACTTCACAAATGCTCAGCCTGCACTCAGCAGGCACTGTGCATTCACTTCTGTGCTTTAGATATTTTTAAATTTAAGAACAGCACTGCTACAAAGGATTAATTAAGGACCAATTAATTGTGAGACAGCAACGCTGACATCTTGGGTTCACACAAGCATCTCTTTTCCTTCTGATTGTTACAGACTTTCCTGCCCAGTAAAATGCTCACCGGGGTCTTGGTACAGGAGTTTCAAGAAGGATGAGCAATCCTAGGGAATTCCCTTTATTCTACAGAGCTTTTCTCCATTTGGTCAGTATAGTGTCACAGACAAATCAGATAAAAGAGGTAACTGCCCAGCTATTGACCTTTGCTAAAATTATCTTTTTTTTTTCTTTCTTTTTTTTTTCTCTCTCAAGTACACCTAAGAGAGGAATAAATGAAATCCACCAGAGATGAACTGAAATATAACAGGAAATCTACAGTTTTGCCTCACAACTTGAAGCACAGGCACAAAAAATGTACTATGAGATGGAGAAACATAAAAACGTTGTCATGCCTGTCACTGCATTGGGAACTCCAAGAGTTGGAGAGCTGCAGAGAGAATGTCCAATTTTAGGAGGCTGCTCCAGTGTAAGATATATCTGGTACAGTGGACAGAGACTGTATGGATCAGAGTTCCAATTCCAACCTTTTATGTTGTAGGTTAAAAATCTGCAAGCTGGGAATATAGATCACTGAACACAAAACCACAAGCAACAGAAAACTAAGAACACCTATGTGTTTGACCTCAGCACTGCTGCCTGTAAGTTGTTCTCAAACCAACAGAAACATTTCAGAGGCTGGAAAGGATGAACAGGCCTGGTTGCCAAGACATGGCCCGAACTATTCAAGGGGGCAGAAAAGACAGCTGGTCTGCTGGTAAAGAACAAGGCTATTTAAGGAGACTCATTCTGGCCTAATGGAAAATGCAAGGATATAATTATCAATTATTTTAAACTAAAACAACATTTTAGATCTAGGAAAAAAAACATCACAAGGAAGCACAAGAGAGAAGATGGTTAGATTCAGCTGGCAGCTCAATACAGGTATAAAAAAGAGCAGAATGTGCTGCTCTTTAGAAGCAAGAAAACGAGATGTTTTCCACTAGATTATGATTCCGGACAGTGCTTCAACCTACAAAGCAAACTCTGAATGCAGCTGTACTGTTCCAAGCACTGACACAAAGCCGATCTGATCACAGGGGCTTGGGTTATCACAAGACAGTCACAAAAGCGGTCAGTGGAACAGAGCTAAAGAAATTATTTTTAAATATATGGCCATATGTTTGTATCTCCAAGTCATACTGATCATGTGCTTTCTCTTTCATCCCTCTGGGCAGCTGCTCCTTGTGTGCTGCACAGCGTTCCATATTAAGAATTCCTATGCAAAATTCTGGCTGTCACCCAGAATGCGTGTTACAGAGCAAACACACAAAGCCAGATAAACAACACTATGAGTCTCTGTGGGAAGGGCCCAATATACCGCTGTTAAAGGGGACTTAGAGCTGAAATCTCCTAGAGAGGTAAAGCTCTTGAGCAACCACCATTGTACCACTGCCTTAGTCACAGATTGTTAACAGCCTCAGATGTCTGAATGGCTGTTCCATCAGATGCTCAGAAGTCAAAACAGCTTTTAACAGGATTTGTAATGAGGGAGGGCAGTAGAAAATTTTTTGGTTTTAGCAGGAATGCTCCTTCAGAGCATAATACCTATTACAAAAAAGGGCCAAAACTTTGCTTTAGAATTCAGTCAGAAATACAAGTTTTAAAAGAATTCTCAACATGTTTACGTCCTGTTCCTTAGCACTTCCTCTGCTAGCAGTTACATATTACAGCATACAGCTCTATAAATACGTGTGACAGCCCAATGGTTGAACATCACGGTATATGATGAAACTTTTACAAGAACATTCCCCAGGACTTCCCAAAATGAACAACTCTAAACAGTTTTTGTAATTTCTATGCAGGACTGAAGCAGATTAAATCTTTTAGAGGTTTAAATACTGCACCAAAGAACATCTTGTTTATAGTGTTACAGTCTGCACTGCAAAGCTGTGAAATGACTGTGGTGCTTATTCACATCACAGGATGTATTTTACTTTCCGGCTTCTAACAAACCACCAGATTTACTTGATTTTGAAGGCCAGAACATTCTTCTGTCTTGTTGAATCTCCTGGTTCAAACATCAGCGGATGAGGCAGGGAGGAGTTCCAAGATACAGCGCAGGATATTCAGCAGGTATAAACTGGATGTGGAAATGAAGTTGGTGATCTAATATGCTGCTGACATAGCAGCTCAGGTGTAAGAGAAAAAGTAAATCATACTTCCTGGCTCTCTGTGTCAGTGGAGGTGCTATAGGGTATTTAACTCTCAGGTCCCAATCAAATATTCACCTGAATGGTTTTATTCAGCCTCAAAAACTCCCACAGACACTTGGCTGGGCATAACATTTTACCTATCAATTCCCACAGTACTATGTAGTCAGCTCTGTGCCTCTAGCCTGGTTGCATACACTGAAGAAGCTTGGGGTTAGGACTCTGGTGTATCAGAGTCAAGGTCTCCACTAGAGAATTGGGGTATTTAAAGTAACTGCACAGCCCAGGCAATATTCCTGTGATGGGTAACTGCTACAGGACATCTCCATTCCTGGCCACCCTGCCAGAATGGCTTGATGGACAAAGCAGGACTGGGTATTCATTCAAACTTGGCATTTGTAGATGCCAAAAATGTCTGCACCAATTGGATTTTATTGAGTCCATGCCCAGGGGTGATATATTAAAAAACAAAAAATCTGACTCTTCTGGTGTAAAGGCACATTACAATTACCAATGGATAGAGAGATAGAGAGATGCAGTTGCTAGCAGTCCTAGACAGCTGTTATTTAAGGATGTCTGTAGATACATAACACAGGCCTTTCCAGAAAACCCAACTGGAAATCCTAGGGAGAAAAAAAAATTATCTTAAATGCCTAAAATTAGATATGACCAATACCAATTGTGTCAGCTTGGGAAACTAGTTGATTCCTGCCTAGGTTGGACAAACAGTTCTTGAGATGACTAAACCCTGCAGTTTTACTTTTCAGCTGTGGAAGGATTTGCTCTGATACTTAAAGTCACACTGAGGGTTTCTGTGTGCAGACACAGGGAGAACTGGTGAGCAAAAGTTTTACCGCTGCACATTCAGAAGTGACACTGTTGTTTTGTTGGCTAGCAGCTGCACAGAAAATTCTGGAAGGCTATAGTGGTGGTGAGCCCCATGTTTCAGGAGTCTCTGACCTGTCTCAACTTCTGTTCTGACAGTATTGGCACAATTCACTTAGGGTACGTGAGGATTGGATAAAATCTAAGAGAAAAGTTCAGTTAGGCCTAAGGAAGCTGACGCCAAGCAGAGAAAGTGTGAAAGCCGTCATGCACATGACACACAGCACCAGAATGTCCAGTTTTGTGTAGTTCAGCCCAGAAACTGTTGGCCTTCATTTAATTCAGTGCATAAGGTGTGTCACATGCCGCAGGATGAAACCAACGCTAAAGGCTACTGTCATCACAGGCACTTTAACTTACCCATGAAGAAGTACTCTGGAGACTTTTTGTCTGAAGCAAAGTCTGCCATAACCCCACCAAACCGCAGCCATAGACCAAAGGCAATGACAGCCAATCCAGCCAGCTGGAAGATAAACAGACCGGTCAATACTTTAGTAACAATTGGCTGGAGAGCATCAAAAAGGTGTCACTGGCACTCTATGCTTTCTTGAAATCCCACAGCTCAGGACTGCAGTGTCAGGAAATTCAAGAAGCACTTGTCAGTGTCGGGTAACAATGAGTTCCTGTTATAGTGCAATGTCTTTCTTCCAGCTCTGCAGTGTAGTCTTGCTTCTGAACTTAGTAGTGACTTTCAAACCTCATCAATAAGCTTATTTAGTCATCAAAATTTTGCCTGAATTGCAATGGGTAATGGAGTGGGGTGGGGGGGGTTGTGGAGAGGGAGTGTCCATGAGGAACACTGCCCTCCTCCCTCCAAACCGTGCTGTGGTCAGGCAGTATGCAGGAGGCCACTCAGGGCCTGAGTCTGGACACGAGATGCTGTTACTGTAGGTGAGGCACCTCACGGAGAAGTGCTGTGTGACCAGGAGTTAAGCCCTGCTGACGTGACAGACACCAAATTTTTTTTTCAACTGTCATAGCTGTTTTAGGGTTTAAATAACAGCCTTTTGGGCTGAAAGGTGCCCCCTTCCCCTGTATGTATCACAGGTCCATCTCCGGTGTCACAGGATATATGATGCTGTAGAAAGACCAGCTGGACCTCTAAATCATCGTACCAAACTACAGGAGACTATCTGCCATTTCAGTATTGCTGCTGCTGCTGCCCAGTTGTAAGAAGGGTTCTGTTAGAGGATTACCAGAAAGAGAGGCTTGTATTCTTAGGGACGTGCTGAAGTTAAGTGTGTTTGGACCAATTATGACAGGGCATTTTTCTGTAAATCACCATGGGACCCCCCTATCAGAACTAGGAGGTAGAAGAATTATTACAGTGTAAAATATCTTGAGTCACAGAAATGATTAACAAACAAGTGATGGATGCTGTCAAATGCAAGGAAAAATTCCCTTTCATGTGAACAAGACTAGATGAAAAAGAAGTGTCAAGGCATGTTGTTTTGAGGGGAAAGATCTATAGACAGATAGGCTATGGACAGACCCACCACATGCCAGCCATAAGCCTACAGGTAGTGATGTGTGTCCTGGCAGACAGCTTCAGCATCCTGCAGGACCAGGCACAGTGCTCTGCTGCTGCTCTGATGGAGGCCCTGAGCCTGGGTCTGCAGCAACTGCACAACCTGAACGAGGTTCACAAAACTCCTGCTGCTTACCATATCCTTGGCAGCCTGTCGTGGTGCTTTTTAAATCTGTCCTGCATTGCCTGGCACTTGGTTCATCTGGCATAGCTACAGCAAGCAAAGAAAGCAGGCAAGGATATGGCTGAAGAGCTTGGGATCACAGCTTTCGCACTGAAGTGTCACAGCAGAGTGTGAGAGTCTCCTGCCACCCTGGTCGTCTGAGCCTCCAGGCTTGCAGGTGTGGGCTCTGCTTTTGGACTGCCAGAGCGCAGCAGGAGCCCCCTCCTGCCAGTCCAGGCTTCTCTGGTAGTTTGGATGTGTCTGAAATGAATGTCCCCAGTCCAGCTGAGGAGATGGTTTCTTCCGTCTCAGTGAAAAGGCAGATAACAAAACACAGCAATTGTCACTTTTGTGAAACAACATAACGCAAAGCTTTGTCCTTCTACTGACTCGCAGCTGCAGCTGGGCAACATCACTCTGCTCCTACAGCTCAAGCACAGCAGCACTGTGTGCCCGGAGCTCACAGTGCTGTCACCAAGAGGCAAAAGCATTTGGTTTAACTGTGTCTCAAGCATAAACGAGACAAAAGCCCAAAACTGGTTGCTCCAGAGATACTGAACAGGATTATTTTGTGACTTCTTGTAAAAAAACAGTGAATCGAAAATAAAAAGATATTCAAGAAGATAACACTGCTAATTGTTTTCCAGTCTGAAAAAATGGAAAGTTGCTCTCTGTGTGTGTGTGTGAGGGGGAGAACACAGCATGAGGGAAAGTGAAGGAAAAAAGAAATCCTGAATTCAGTTGTGCTATGGAGCTGTGAGACTATTGGAAACGTGCGATGAGGGGAGAATGGGCATAGCGTTCTCTAAATCTCCTGAGGGTTCTGCAGTAGACACTGTTCGTTGCCACATAAAGTAGCTTTCAGCAAAGTGCATGCAGTAGGATGCAAGGGCCTCCTCTTAGGATGAACTTGTCAAAGTAGCACCTGTTGGCTCATTCTGTGAAGTGACATTATTAAAAAGCATCATGACGCTGTGAAGAAGCGTTCTGCGGCCGTGCGCTGCAGCCTCCTCTCTGAACTGTGCTTGTCGGGGAAATGGTTACTGCCCTAAGCCGTCAGTTAGAAAGATGCTGTGTCTTTTTCAGCAGCTTCTGTCAAGTGGGTGTTTTCCCGCGTCTTCACAGAAGCGAGTAAAAGCCGGGAGCGCTGGCAGGGTGAGCCCGGCCTGCCCCGCCGCGCCCCTGCCAAAGCTCGGCCCCGCCG